GTCATATAATGAATATAAATTAAAAAGAACCAACTAAAGAATTCATCATTCTAAATGAATTTGTGTGAAGGAAAGAAAAGTTTATTAGCACAAGTAGAACTATGTCAAATGTTTAGGTTTATTTTATTTTATTTTTTCCGATAAACGTCTCAAGGTGAATAGACAGTTTGGGAAATGACAGCTGCTTTGCTCRTGTCATAATTTGTAGAGTAAAAAGTCCCTATAGGCAGGCAGGAGGTTCGTAATTAAAATAAACTTTACCAGCCTCGGCTGGAAGTTCAAAACAAGARGTGAACACGACAACAGCTGAGTTTGACTGAGGGTCTGACAACATCCATGAAACACAKTGAATATACAGAAGAAGGGAAGAGCAGGTGTGCTGATTACCAAGAAGAAGAAAAAAACAGAGTGTACTAAATGTGACCGGAACAGAAAAACTGGCTTACACGATCAAAACAAAACCCAAAGCTGACAGTTTTACTCCTAATGTAGCTTTGTTTTAATTAACAGGCAATTTTAGGTTTGGAAGCTTTAGTTTACGTCATTGTTGTTTACTCATTATCTTTTTCTCTGCTTCAAATGAGATCTAAATTCATGCATCAGTTTTTCATCAGTGTTTAACCTCTGGAAGATGAGCTTCTGACTGACAGCCAGACAGAAAATCATGATAGATCAATTAAACTATTGATTGAGCTCCTGAGATAACAAAATGGAGCTGTGAACTTTTTTTTATCTTGCAGAGAGCCGAAGAAGCTGAACTGACATTTAAATCTCCATAATAAGATCCTTTTCTGCAAGAAACTACTTAACATTCACAAATACTGCTGAATTTTTTTAAAGTCAGAACTAAACGGGGAGACAAATGGAGAAAGCTTCAGTCACTATGAATGTGTTTAATTAGGTTTAAATGAATACACTAATGTGCCAAGAGAGAACTAACCTCTGGACACTCATCCACAGAAATATCTCTTCATGCTTCACTTCTCATTTTCCCATGCAAAGTGTGATAAACATAATACGAGTAAATGGTAAGACAGTATGTTCAACTCAAGCTTGCTTGTCTCGTTTGCACAACRACACACCCAAATATTCACTTTTAATTATCTTTCGCTAAAACCACCGATTCCTGTGAGTTTTAATGTAAGATTTGTATYCTGCAAGCTCAAAATATATTTCTTTTTTATAGTGTAATGTAAAAAAAAGAAAGAAAATGTTTAATTGAGGGGATTTTCTAATGAATTTGTAGGTCCTACAGGGGAAACATTCTGTATTTTGTATTCCGACGGAGACAAAATTTYGAAGCGAGAATCATCCTTAAATTGGTTACCTTTGGCTAAATGATTAAAGAACTTTGATGTGCAGAAGGTCTTCAAATTGCTTTCAGCAAGCCAGAGGGAATGTTAACAAAAAAAAATGTAGAAGAGCTCATGAAGGGAAGTTGTCCTTCAAGTTGATCCGCCACCCATTGAGTTTATTTCCCCTGAAATGCAGCTGTTTTTTTTTTTCTTCCTGTGGCTAGACTGAACATTATGCTACTTTTTAAAAGGCAGCAAATACAAGAAAAACACGACAGAGTCAAATGAAGAACAGGCTGCACAAGGTCACATCTTTGAGGACGATTTCTGCCAAGTCTCAGGGCTGATAAACATGAGTGATGCTCAACAGAGTAAATGAAATATAGTGAACAAGAGTAGTAAGTAAACACAACAACTTTGGCACACATCTGGAAAAAAAATAACATTTTAAAGCTTACAAAGACAAACACAACGTAAAAGATGCCACCAAATGTGCAATATGATGGCAACAAATGTCTTTGAATTTACAGAAAATAATTATAATGAACTTTAAAATACATAATTTATCGATTTTGTTGATTTTGAATAGAATGGGCCAGCTACTGCATTCCCTATTTTAGGAGCACTAATGAAATTATCTTTAAAAACAAACTGTCCCGAATTGTGTGAAAAAAACAAACAAACAGGGAGTTGAGGAGGGTGGCCATGGCAAAAGCCTGAACATGGTATCTGAATGTAAAGTCCACGCCTCCTCAGACAGACAGACCCGATTAAAGTTCTTGTAGCATTAAAAAAAAAATGCAAATCCATGCAGAAGTATTYAAATTTAAATTTAAGCAGCGCGTCTTCAGAAATGTGCTTATTAAATAAATGTTCCCAGTCGTATCTCCAATACAAAATGTGTCCTGCTACGACTGCTGTGCAGGCACGGCTGAATGAACTAATCAAAGCCTATCATGTTTTCCACATGATGAGCCTCAGTGGTGTGGAATTAAAGTCAATCTGTCTTTATTAATCAGTCGTTTCTGCAGTCATTTAGCTTGATTTGCACATCTGTTTTTCCTCCTCTTCTCTGATGTTCTGAACAGTTTGAAGTCGGTTCATTTAAAATATAGAAATCTTGTTCCTATTCCTTAAGGAATATCTTGATATGACAGAAATAAACAGTGTAAAGATTTTTAAACAGTATTGAATACATTTAGAACTAAAATGTTTAACTCAATTCAAGATGCACCACAGCTACCTTTGAAAACATAAATCTGGCTGAGCTAACATTTGGTGTGGCAGTAGATGATGGTGATCTTTAACACTTACTCCAAGCTAAACATATCAAAACAAAATTAACATTTTTTTAGGCAGAAATCCACTTTGGTCTTCAATCTGGACTTTTAAAAAAAAAAACCAAGAGCTATCTACAGCAGGTAAGATATAGATTTTTTTACAGAACCCTCACTTCAAATAATCTATTAACTATTGCTTTTAGCAGCTGCATTATAAAGTATTAAATGTATACACATCCTGKATAAGAAAAAATGTTTGTCACTTGTATTTTGTACAAAAATTAACTTTTGTAAGTTTCTTTTTTTGTTCAGAAACAAAATGTTTGCTTTATGGACTTCCTGTTCTAACAAAGGTTGTGGCACCAGTTGAAACAAAACAGTTAATAAATCATATATAAAATAGTTTTTTAACAATGCATAATCAATATGTTGTACAATGCAAAGTTATATCATGTTAAATCAAAAACGTCTTCAGACTGACTACAACAGAAAATTTATTTTGTAAGAAACTAAAAGGTTTCTTGTAGCTGTAATAAACCTTCTGCAGCGGCCAAATGAACATGTAAGAAAAATCACAGATGTCACTCTGCCAAAACAACTGCTTTTTTTTTTCTTCTCAGCTTTCTGCTTATTTCTGTTTTCCTTTACACCTTGGAGTATCCATCAGCGAATACCTGCCGTCACTGACAAGAAGCACGCTGAGAGACTTCTCGCTACATCTGTTTTTTGTTTTCCTCGTGTGATTAATTCAGACGACGACGTTGACAACATGAGTGCAGCATCAATTTCTTCCTGTCCCAAATCCTCCACTTCTTTTCCCTGCATCCTGCGGCATTAATGACAGTTTGCAACACAAGCAAATTCAACTGCTTCTTATAAATCAGTTTATATTAATCATACAGTAGTCATAAAGAATCAAACTGGGAAAGTGAAAGATTTTACTGCTGGTGATCGAAAAAGTACAAGTTAATTACAGGTTTGCCCAGGATGATTGCTGATTGGACATAATTATAGAATAGAAGAATAGAATAGAAATAGCCTGTATTGTCCCGCCGAGGGGAAATTTAGATGTAATTATAAATAATTATAAATGTTCACTTTTTCTGAAAACAGTAAATCTCCACCAAGTCAACATACAACTGAAAAAAAAAACATGTATTCTT